AAAATTAAGTAAATTTTCATAAAACTCATTCAAATATCAATAATATCAAGGTATAAAATTTATATTAATATATATAAATTTAGTTCATCAGCCATGTATTGCTTTGAAAATTAAAAAAGATGAATTCACAATCTTTTTCTCTTATTTATTTTACACTATATTTTCTTGATTATAAGACTGGATGCTTTAATTTCTCCTCTTTTCAAGTCCTTGTGATACAGGTTGTCAAGAAAGCAATTGAGCTTCGTAGCAAATTAGAGCTTTGGTCCAAGCTTGGTCCAATATTATATTAAAATTTATTATTAATTGCTTTCCGCATGCTTTGCATTCATTCCACATTTTTCCATTCATTCTGCACTTGTTTTTGCATTCATGATATCATTTTGCTATCTCATTTTTTATATATCATAATCATGCTACTTTGCTCATTTGCACTTATGATTATAAATATCAATTGCTATTTTAGAGATGGAAAAGTGCAGGGATTCGATGTGGGGTGGGTTCTAAAGAAATCCCTTTATGGTGAGCTCCTCCATCAAAATTATATACGAGCTATGAACAACTCCTCCATCCAATTTTAAAAGGCTACGGGTCCTAACCATAAAGCTCAATAGCTTACGAAGACAATAAAGTAAATTCCTTTTCTGGCATCATTTATGACAGGCTAGATTTTTTCTCTCCACATTTGCTCTTGAGTCACGACAAGGACTTAACATCATTTGTAAGAAGCTAAATTCTTTCTCGACTTTCTATCTCATCAAGCACAATTCTTCCCAAGTATAAATTAATTCTGCTCTGCAAGTCAAGTAAGTGTTACATATTAGAAATTTCAAAATTTCTTTGCACATTCAAGATTTTTATTGAGTCATTTCGCTTGTCCAATTTTTGTTCTTATATTTACAAGCTAGAAAGACTTTTTATTACAGCATGCATGACTGCTTGTTTATTGGACATGTTAAAGCATAAAAAATGCAAATAATGTAATTTACTGTTGTACCTATGATTTTGATGATTACAAAACACATTTGAGTGACTAATTGGTTTATTTAAGTGTGTAGTTAAGTTGCTAAAAGATTGCAAGTAAACTTGGATGGCACTAAAAATAGACCAAAAGGATTCAATGTACAGAGAGCCGGCTCTGGTAAAGTGCAGCCAGCTCTGGTGTATGGAAGTGCAGAGAGCCAGCTCTAGAAGTTGCAGCCGGCTCTACAGGCAAAAATTTGAAGACCGTTCTTTGGCGCGCGCGGAGAAAAGATGCAAAGCTGGCTCTGGCTTTGAAGCCGGCTGTGAGGGTGCATTTAATGCACAACGGTCGAGTCATTTGAAGATTATTTAATGTATTTAAAGTCAGAGTTGCGAAGTCGGCTCAAAGTTTTGCAGCCGGCTCTCGAGAAAAACAGAATGTGCTGCAAACCCGGATAGCCGGCTCTGAAAGTGTAAGCCGGCTCTACAGAGCCGGTTCTAGAAAGTTAAGCCGGCTCTCCTGATAATTCTGTAGCTCGAGGTTTGCGTCCTACAGAGCATTTAATGACCCCTAACGGCTAGAAACAGCTATTTTCGAGTAAGGGGCTATAAATATGGTTGGTAACAGATGTGAAGAAGTTTAGAGAATATTGTATTGAATATCTTTATCAACAACTTGTGCTTAAACTAGAGTTTTTGATCTTTGAGAGATCTTTGAGAGATCTTTGTTTGTAATCCTCTTCTTGTGCTATTAGTGAGTGATCTTGGGGATGTGTTGATTCCTTCAAGAGTGATCTGTAGAGAGGATCTTTGGGATTAAAGTGTAAAGGGGTGAGATTTGAGAGAAACCCTTCTTCTTGTAAAGGATTGAGTGGCTCCTTTAAGCCACCATTGTTTTTTATAATGGATAGTGTGAAGGAAATCCTTGGTGAGTGAAGCCAAGGTAGAGGACTAGGTTCCAAGTGGTTGGACAGAACCTCTATAAAATCATTGTGCAAGCTCTTCTTCTTCACTCTCTCTTTAATTTTTGTTTGGTGGTTGCAAATAGGCGAAAATTCTCCAACTCCAATTCACCCCCCCTCTTGGAGTGCATTGAGTCAACATTTACGATTACAACATTTATGTTTACCTACCCCAAATGTGCGGGTTGAGGGGGGAGAAGACTCATATATTATGACTTCTAATAAGAACCTATGATTAAAAAGTGCAGCTTCATAATTTATTCAAGTTACAGTTATTAATTGTGATACTTAGCTAAAGATATATATATATATCCTTATCATATAATATGGTCAGCCTTGGACTTTAACAATAGGAACTTCATGTGCTGACTTAGGAACTTAAACAAGTTCATAAACTAGGTTGAGTTCATCCTCATGATAGTCCATTCCGAGGTGAACTCCCTTGGATGATGTAAACCTCGAATGAACTCAACTACTTGAGCTAATCCTCATGCTAACCCTTTCCGAGGTGAACTACCTTGGATGAGGTAAACAACCTCGGGTGAGCTCAACTGCTTGATCTCATCCTCATGATAATCGGGTGAACTACCCCGGATGAGGTAAACAACCTCGAATGAACTCAGCCTATGCTTGAGCTCATCTCGTGACAACCTAGTCTGAGGTGAACTGCTCCGGATGAGGCAAATGACCCCAGATGAGGCAAACAACCTCGGATTAACTCGAACTACCCCCTACCCACATAACCTTCACATCATTCACAAGTGAATGACTCCCAAAGGGGGAATAGTGTGATGGTTGTCCGATGTGAACCACCTAGGACGAGGTAAACAACCTTAGATGAACTCAACTGCTTGAGTTCATCCTCATGACAACCCATTCTGAGGTCAACTACCTTGGATGAGGTAAACCTCGGATGAACTCAACTGCTTGAGTTCATCCTCATGACAACTCATTCCGAGGTGAACTCCCTTGGATGGTGTGAGCAACCTCGGATGAACTCAACTGCTTGAGTTCATCCTCATGACAACTCATTCCGAGGTCAACTACCTTGGATGAGGTAAACCTTAGATGAACTCAACTGCTTGAGTTCGTCCTCATGACAACTCATTCCGAAGTGAACTCCCTTGGCTGGTGTAAGCAACCTCAGATTAGCTCAATTGCTTGAGCTCATTTTCATGACAGCCCATTTGGATAAGGTAAGCAACCTAAGATGAACTCAACTGCTTGAGCTTATCCTCATGAAAGCCCATTTGGATGAGGTAAACAACTTTAGATGAACTCAACTGCTTGAGCTCATCCTTATGACAGTTAAGCTCAAGTCTAGCTTGCAACTAGCTTGCCATTTCACCAGCTATCTTGTGTTCAACCTCTCATGGGCCATTCATCAATAAAATATGCTGAGCCCCTATTTATTAAATATATTGAATATAATATATTTTTCATGTTTTAACTAAAAGTGAGTAGCTTAAATGACATTTATGTTAATACATTTGTGGAGCCTCATGCAAATAGTGGAAGAATCCACAAGCTAGTGGTATCCACGAGCTGGTGGTCTTTATTATTGGTTCTAACTTAAAGAGATAAATCTCTCTTTGAGAGGGGGAGTAGGAATACTAGGCAACAAACATAAACTTCTCTACTTTACTTGGCATGCGTTTAATTTGCTGCTTGAATAAGTCAACCTGAGCATATTTTAAATATTCATATCTTACTATTGTTTATTTTGATGACTCATGCCATAGACATTTATATTTAATTCTAAATTATTGTACTACTTTAATGCTGGTGCATCTCATATATTATTGATTATTGATGAACTAATGGCATCTTGTCAAGTTCTATGTTTAGAATGAATTCTTACAGGTCTCATGAGTTTGTTAACTCCTTGGCTGGGAAGACTCAGAAATATGTTATCAGCTATTAAACTTATCAGTTCATCAGGAAATACTATTGGCCTTTGAGCCCATTAGCTATTGGCTTTTTTAGCCCATTTGATCTACAAGAGCTTGCGTTCATCAACTATCAGCTTCTCAGCTCATTTGTTCTATGAAAGCTCAGTTTGATCTTAACTCCGCAAAGCACAACCCTTGAAGGGGTTTGATTTTATGCTATGACTCGAGAGACCAAGATTTTCTTATAGGCGTCTCAAAGTGGGATTCTGTGGTCATCATTCTCAGCCACAATCATAACATGACTATGGGTCATGCATCTTTACTTCGGCTCTGACCCACAGTGACCCAGTGTCACATATTTCACTTCGGCTTCGGCCCACAATGACCCAGTGTCACATATTTCACTTCGGCTCCAGCCACAGTGACCCAGTATCACATGCTTTACTTCGGCTCCGGTTGCTATGACTCCGGTCATTACTTTTTACTACAACTCCGGCCGTTATGACTCCGATCATTACTTTTTATTACCACTTCGCCCACTATGACTCCAGTCATTACTTTTTATTATGGCTCCGGCCGCTATGACTCCGGCCGCTATGACTCCAGTCATTATTTTTTATTACGGCTCCAACTGCTATGACTTTGGTCATTACTTTTTATTACGGCTTCGGCCGCTATAACTCCGGTCATTACTTTTTACTACGACTCCGGCCACTATGACTCCGATCATTACTTTTTATTACGGCTCTGGCCGCTATGACTCTGGTCATTACTTTTGATTATGACTCCGGCCGCTATAACTCCGGTCATTACTTTTTATTACGGCTCCAGCCGTTATGACTCCGGTCATTACTTATTACCTCGGCTTCGACCCTTATGACTTCAGTCATTGCTTATTACTTCGACTCCGGCCACATGACTCTAGTCATTACTTATTACTTCGGCTCCGGCCGCTATGACTCCGGTTATCATTATTTACCTCGGCTCCAGCCATAGTGACCATAAGTCACCGATTCTACTTCGGCTACGGCCATAGTGACCACGAGTCTAGTTCTACTTTGGCTACGGCCATAGTGACCACGAGTCACCAGTTCTACTTCTGCTCCAGCCATAGTGACCCCGAGTCACATATTTTACTTCAGCTCCGACCATATGGTCCCGAGTTACATATTTTACTTCGGTTTCGGCCATAGTGACCCCGAGTCACCTATTTTACTTCGGCTCCGGCCATAGTAACCACACATCACCTATATTACTTCGGCTCTAGCCATAATGATTGAGTCATCAATTTTACTTCGGCTACAACTGTAACACATGACTCCATGTCATGCAATTTTACTTCAGCTACAGCTATAACACATGACTTCGTGTCATGCATTTTTACCTTGGTTACAGTCTAAAACACGACTTCATGTCATACATCTTTATATTGACTACCCCCATCTACGCTCATCTTCCACACTAATCATTCACAAGTAAATGACTTTGAGGGGGGAATAGTGTAAAGATAGGTTCGAGATTAAGGACCTCGGACGTATTGCTATAATTCCTTAATAACCGAAGTGAAGCACTTCCTAGTCAAACAGCTGCATGACAGTTACGGTGAGCATGCCCACACTAGAATATCTCTCAATTTTTCGGTCCCGAAATAACCATCTGGATAGACACAATCAGACTCCGATTATCTTGCTTGGCATGTCACGTGGGTTCCTCACTAGAGCTTATCCGTCTGGATAGACACAATCAAACT